TGGATTCCCCCATACTAGCATGTCAGTGGTGAGGGATTGTGTTTAAATGGTTTTGAGGAACAGTACATTACACACACACACAGCAGATAACAGCCTACATGTGACATATGTTTGTAATCACTTCAAAATGAAGACTGTGACAGAGACTGAATGAATGGGTTAATAATGGTGCATGCTAAGTATTGCAGAGGCTAAGGCGTGGGCCAGGTTATTGGTGCCTCTTTGTCTCCTCTGCACCTGAGGGACACCCCCCCAAAAGCACACCCATGTCTTGGAAAGCAAGGCCCTCTGGGAGGTTGGAGGGGTGTTTGCGTTGCGTGTGGCGTCTCTCTGTCTGCTGTGTGAGTTCATCTGAGGTGTAAAGGCGAGTAAACACCTTAAGGTGTAAACATCTTCTTTACACATTATGTCTATAACACTAATGCAACAGCAGGAGAAATCATAAAAGACATAAAATGAAGAGGAGATGGCTGAAATGCATAACTTTTTTTTCATATTCGCCTTAAAGTTCACCTATAGTTTATTAGGTTTTATCTGTTATAATAACATTGTACTCACTGAAAGAACTGCAGAGATATGGGATCTGAAAAGTCCAGTGGGGCAAGAATGAGACCTCTGCGGTTGTACACTGACTTCTGGCTGATGACCTTTGACCTCTTCCCAGTGGACGCTGTTAGCCCTTTTGCTCTGGTGTTCACAGACATCTCACGTTGTCTTGTGTTCATTCAGTGGGGTTGTAAAATGTTTGTGGTGTTTGCCCATCGTTTCATTTGCAGTAATTTGCACATTTCGATGATCCTAGGCATTTTTTTAGCAATAACAACCGCCATTTTTCTGCTGAGAAATGCAGTTATTAAACAGTATAACACAGTGGTTCTCAACCTGGGGTCGGGACCCCTACGAGGGGTTGCCAAAGTTTCACAGGGGGATCATGAGACCTTCTTTATTTTAAGAGGTGCGAGACAACTATACACAAACTATGCAAAATATACATAGTAGGCCTATATCTGAGCATTTCATTCATTTCTGTGCAAAAAGCTAATTTTTAGTCATTTTTAAAGCTTAGATTATTATTTAAGGTTAAAGTTTGAAGAGCTGAACACGAGTTTTATTCACAGAGCCTTCACTCTCATAAACAGCCTTATCCTGCATTAGAAAAATACACAGTTCAAACAACCAAAGAGCTAACAGAACAATGAAAACTCAGAATTTTTCAAAAAAAAGAAGCTTATTAAGTATGTTTGATTGTTACAAAAAAAATACACAATACAGAAGTTCCTAAAAATATCAGGAAATCTCATCTCTGATCAATATTCACAGGAGTAATGAATCCAAATTTCTTGTTTTATACAAGCTAAACAGTTATTGTGTTTCCTATCTGTTGTTCTGTTCTTTTATTGTTATCCATTGACTATAATATGAAATATCCATGGAATATGTCACTTAGTTTACTCAATGATAGAAAAGGACTCCCTTTAGGAAAAAGGTTGGGAACCACTGGTATAACACAACAGTTCTGTTATGGAATCGCTTGTTATTGGAATCATTAATACCATACCATTTTATTAATGTACTGAAAAGCAGGTTGGATTGTATGTTATATTGTACCATGCTGCTGATAATAACCCAATCCCATTGTCTTTCCTTTCTTGTAGGTAAGTTGAAATGGACGGGGAGAGACGTTGGGACCGGGGGCCTTGTTATAGGTATTGTTGAGCTGCTACATCAGGACACAGCTGCACTTGCTCCTGATTGTTGTATTGATTTTCACACTCGGATGAGCACATCTTCAGCTGAGTAATAAAACTGGTGTGTGTGTGTGTGTGTGCTGCACAGTTCCAGATGGCACCCAGAGCTAATCCATTACTGCTGTCGTCATATACACACAAAAATGTTTTTTCTCTCATTAGCAGTGAGCACAGTTATGTATCTGCCTATCCTCACTAAAGAAATCCATGATTTATGCTCAGTCACCATTAAAACACAATCCGAACACAGAACAGGATTTCTCAAAATGTTTTTGTGCCTTTGGTTCAGAATTAGTTTTAATTATCTTTTGCAAACTGCAGCTCAGATGACCCGCTAACATGGTGACATGTTTTCTCCTAATCTTCTTTCTTGGCTATCCGTTGCTCCAGCCTTCTCTGAACCAATTACCTGAGCTAACTAACCCTGAGCCCACGAGGCTCAGAGGTCACAGCTCTGCCAGGGCCGGGCTCCTCGGGCCCTGGAAGGGTGTTTGCATCTTGTGCAGCTTGTAAGCCCCAGTATTGAGGATTGCTAGGAGGGTAGAAGCAGCTGGAGGTCCTGTAATCTCTGAGACCCTCAGCCGATTACTGATATAATACATACGACTCTGTTTGTGAAGATCTGGACGAGATTAGTAAGCAGGCAGACTTACCACGGGCACATGCCTCTCTGCTTCTACTGCAGGTTAAACCAGGAAGTGACAGAGCAGTACTATTGGATCAAAAAGTTCCTTGTGAGATTTTGTTTTCAGTTAAAAAATGGTTCTACTTTGGATTGCAAGTGCATTATATCATTGTTTGACCAGTAGTAAAGCAGCTGGCTCTAGTTCTGGACAGCTTTTTATTTATTTACACCTGATTTCTTAACTCAGTTGCTCCATACATAAAGCAGTGTTCTACCCAGTTAACCCCTCAGGTTCTTCTTGTTTTGCTGTTGACGCCATCACTTTCACATTCATGCAGCATGTTGGGCTTTATTGCTTCAGCAGCGCCTGTTGTAAATCATTGTTTTATTGCCACCGTTTGTCCATACAGTGACTCTCAATGGGCCGAAAGAGAAATGGTTTCTAGGAGCCATGTTTCTTCAGGCCAAATGTTAATGTAGGAACACACTGAGACGCAAAGCCAGACAAAATGCACATATTCAGTCAACTAGTCTAATCCCTATCTGCCAACCCCTCTGCGTACTAACTGATATAGACTCATAATTTCTCTGTTTTCATATACTTCATCACATATTTACATATTCTTATCTAATAGAGGAAAACTCAGTAGTGGTGGGAGGGAGTAATGTTGAATTGTAATGTTGAGGTGAGGTAGTCCACACAATCAATACACATGCCATATTCAGCATGTGTATTGATCTTATTGACCTGTTGACCTTTAAGGAAAGTATCCATCTGAGTCTACAAACAGTGGGGGAAATATGTGGTTTTTGGTTTTTGGTTCTAGCTGCAACAAATATTTCAGGTTCTGAACCAATTTATTTTGAGTTGAAATGCTCAGAATGGTTAAAAACTAGGTGCTTGAAGTGGAACGGAGCTGGTTTCCTGTAGATAGAAAGGACCTAAGAATGATTCAAAGAAAAATCTGAGGGGTCACCAAATGAGTAACCAGAAGAGTTTCTCTTGCACAAATTTCCCTTTGTGTTTTTGAAATATTTGCTCTTTGTTATGAATACTGTATACTCTCAAAAACCTTCCAATGAAACAATCTGAGAAGGAAAACTCATTCCTCCTTCACTGCCCATACTCAGGCCACAGTCTGTAACAAGGGGGTCACACGTCAGAAAGGTTGGGAACCACTGCCTAAGTCAACTAATTGCATGGCAAAAAAATGCTTTAAAATGCTTGTTGGGATGATGGGTGTTAATTGGTATTTTATGATCTCCTTAGTGTAGGTGCAGCTGTCATTTTCTGACAAAGAGCTTTAATGCTGAAATCTTTTTTCATTAACTTGTTCCAATATTCAGTCTGTGGACTGCTTGTTCTAGTCCTTTGTATGGTGCACTTGTACTCAGCTGGGGTTAAATATTCTCACAATCTCAGTTGTAATGTGGGCTCAGGCCATGAGGTGGCACCATGGTATCAAAAAGCAAAATGGGTGAGGCCTTGGAAAATATGAACATTGCAGTCGATGTCTTCATAGAGTGCTGATAGAAGACTTGTAGATATTATAGATGAAAGGGCATTATTTGGTGCTGGATACCAAAGTAGTGTGAATATTTATGTGTGATTGACGTGAATAGATGATAATGGCTGGGCACGGTGCATGTTTTACTTATTGGCTGCCTTAACAGACAGATTGACTCTAATAATGCTAATGAACACACTATCACTGCATTCCTCTCTAGTGCTTCCTGACCAATGCCTGTTCGCTATCCTTTGCTGCCCTTCAGTGGTGCTCATGGGCAGCATTGTAATTTCAGCACCATGGACAGGGATTGTGAGCCCTCAGTCACAGCCATGCTTCTGCCTTATTATAGCATATATTATGTAGACGTGTTAAAGGTCATGGTACATTTGATTGCAGCTCACGCCGTAGCTTCTACGCCCTTACTGTGTTATAAAATCTATACACAATATAGCTGATATGTAAAGCACTGGCAATGGGTAGCATATGTTGATATTGCTGCAGTCAGGTCGTTTCACCATTTCCATAACTACAAGCTACAAAACTGTAAACGTGCTTGAGAAAAAAATGACTTATGTGTTTTTCAGTGTGTATTTATGCGTGTGTTTGCTCTGGAGCTGTAAAATCTCCCAGTCACTGAGGCAGACTGCACCATTATGGACTTCCTAATAGGGGAGGTTGAAGACACTGACTGGAGTCCAAGTTTTACCCCCTCTGACTCCAGGAAAAGTGGTACCTCCCTTGTTCTCTCTCCGAAGGACACTCGCTGATGCTTTCCGTGTCCTATATCACCTCCCACATATCGTTTCCTCCTCCCTCACCCTGCTTTCTATAATCCCCACACACCCCAGCCCTACCTCCCCTTCTGGTACATGATGAGTGGGGAAGTCATGTATTTGAGTCCAAATCAGAGGCTTCCCAGGTTCCCGGAGCATCTGCTGCTACCTCTGCAGCCCAAGCAGTAAAGGGAGGGGAGGAGCTCTCTGCTCCCTGCCTCTATGACTCTTTCTAGCTTCTCTGCCTTTCTATTGGTCCTCCAGCTTACCTCTTGGTGGCGTGCACTAGCCCACCCCTCCTCTCTCTCCATCCCTGTCTCAGATGCAGTTATCCAGGCAGCAGGGAGGGAGGCTTTACAGACACTCACACTCTCTGCATGGGTGAAGAGAGCTGTTGGGTTAGAGGACAAGAGGATACCAGCGCTACCTCTATCCTCTTCCCACTTACGACGATTTGTCCTTTTAAGAAAGTCACCTGCTCAGGTGGGGTTCTTGTTTCCTTGGATGACTGGCTTGCCATTAAGGCAAGCGTTGTGAGAGGACTTCTGAAAGTGATCTAAAAGCTTTAGTTTTCTTCAAGTGGGAACAGAGAGAGGGCAGCCATGGCTCATGCCGCGGCTCACATTAAGAAGGCCAGGTCCGAGATGGATCAACCTCCGGACCTGAAGGCTCTGGAGAAAGCCAGAGAGAGGAGGAGGCGTTCCCGGGAACGGGCTGAACGCAAGCGCAAGGTACCGGGCAGACTCACTGGAATCACCCACCTATTCATCCCTTCCCGCTTTGTGTGACCAATCAGTGTTTCACTGGTTACTTCATCCCACCTCCAGTCATCCCTACACCTCATCACCATCAGAGTGTCACTTCACCTTTACCGAATGAAGAAGACTTTATCAGAGTCCATTACCACGGACTGCAGGAGAGTTTGCAGAGCAGAAATCATCATCAGAGGCTACCCATGTCCTCATCTTTACTATTTACACCCCCAAATTTATTATCATCTAGTGGTATTCAGTGGCTCCATCAAGGGAAAAAGAGTGTGAAGGGACTCATTTATGGAAGCACTCATTTTTAGATGGAATGAAAACCCTTTTACGGCACAAGACTGATCTGAAGCACCAACTGTGCTCTGTGATCAGTGTCATCAGTCCATTGTCACCCACCAAACCATAAGAAACACAAATCACATAAAGCTGTGATTCCAACAGAACATGGCCACAATGATTGCACTCTGCTTGATCCCTGCTGCCGCCAGTGCTTGTCCTCATCTCATCTTGTACACTGCTGAAGGATCTTTCCTCAGTCCATCCTTCATTCCACTCCTCATTCTGTCATCATGTACCAGCCACAATATTATAAATGACCTCTGTACAAGTCATCAATCACTCAATCAGTGTTGCTGTCTCCCCACTTCAACCTTCCCTGGGTGGGCTCCATCATAACACACTCTCTATACAGTAGAACTTCTACAAATACCTCCGCTCGTCTCCCTGTACAGTAGATGTACCCACGCAGATCAGTCTCTGGTGCATTGTATGTTCACTCTATTTGCTCATGGATTCACACATCCTCTCATGCAAACACACAATCTTACTGCTGTGGTTTTATTGGTAGGGTGTACTGCAGAGATATGCTGTATCTTTATTGTACATGATTCTATAGTTAAGTGTTTACTTTAACAAGCCATTTCAGGGAGTAATATGTGCACATGACTCTCTGCAGGATTACTGAAGTTCATGTTTTTTTGCCAGCACAGCACATAACATTGCACTGTTAGGAACGATTATTTTCTGGCACATATTGCAATATGATTCTCTATTAGTAGAAAGGATCTCTTTTGCATCACAATTTTAATTTTCACTGGGGTCTGTACCAAACAAACATGTTTTCTTGCATCTGGAGAACAATATTTGTAGGCCAGTGCCTCTCTGCAGCACTACAGTGCTTCACTATAATGCTGTTTGTCACACAGTTTACCTTTAACAAGAAATCACAGCTTCTGAGATTTGGATATTGCACTTGACAATATTTCATGGCTGGTAATTAACCATTAGGAGATGTTAGCTTGGATCACTGCATGCTACTGTTTTATGAAATAGAAGATAACATTAGGAACTCTGACTGGGGCAGGAATCTGCATGGAGTTGCTTTATGAAATATAAGTAAGGGATTAAACCCGACAAGCTTTATACGTTCTATGATCGTAATGGATGGTGGCAAAGAACCACTTGATGCAAGGCTGAATTATCTACAGATTAAAGTACGGTATGTTATTTCTGCCACTAGCATTACAAAACATGTGGTTTGATGATCTGGGGCAGTAAAATGTGTAATGGGCAGCCCATTCGAGTTCCAACTTTTGAAATGATTTTTAAATGAATATCAGCTTGACTTGCTAGCACTGTGTGAAGGGGAAATGGAGAAGGTCATAATGAAGTATATTTGGGAACATCATTCCATCTTAACTCTGTAATGTTAAGTGCCTCACTGAAAAAGCTGACCTTCAATTGCCATCGCATGGCATCAAAAAAAGCTGATACCCAGTCGTGGCCTTTGTAGCTGTTCGGATGAAGAGCTGTTATGTTGCTTTAGTGTTTTTTCCGTCTCAAGCCCCCCCCCCTCACTGCTATAAATATTGACTGAACTGCAAGGCAGATTATCACATAGGATTATGGGTGTGTACCCTCAGACTCTGTCGTTGACACACGCGTACACACAAACACCTAAAAGTGATTAATAGATTCAATTTGGTGGATGGTTCAGCAAGTGCCTGAAGGCAGACATTTACATCACAGCGACACGCACACTGCTGTCAAATCACAGTTTTATCAGCAGCGGTCAAGTCCTGCTGGGAGACAATTAACCCCATGTAAATGGTGCTCAGTGGCTGTTTGAGGGCTCGGCCTGGACACTGCATGGCTGCAGCATGTTGTTATGAAATGATGGAACACATAGTGGACGTAATATTTGATTTCCTCTCGGATACGTCACCTTGGATGCACACTTGAGCTAGCATCACCAATTACATAACAAAGAAGGCTAGACATGGTTTGTCAGTTTGAATGCAGCAAACATCCATTACTTGCTGAGGGATCATCTGCTGACCCGAGCCCAGTCTTAAACAGGATTTTCACTTTACTGTCCGGTGATGTAGGTTGGTATTAGGATCATATTAGAGGCAGTACTTAGTGTTAAATTAATCATTTCCAGAGTTTCACAAGTATATTTTATATTTTGGTGAGAAGTCGTGTGTTGATTGATTTTAGATTGATGGTTAATATTGGTTTTAGTTCACTATTGATGCTGTTTACTGTTAAAACAAACTCCATGTTTACCTGTTGTCTTTATAAATTCAGTGTTATTTACAGTAACACAGCACTTCTCTTAATACGCACAGCCACTGACAGTAAATCTGCTGGTTTGAATTTCTTATTTTAACAGAAATACTGTTTTAAATCAATAAATCTGAACACTTCCTGAACACATATTGCACATTAAAAGCCTTTCACCAGCTCAAAGGGCATAATCCTTCCTGTTCCTGGTACTCATTTATTTGTAATTTGTAGTAAGTGTTAATCTTCATTCATGCATTTTATTTCATAATGCTCCAAAAAACAGCAAAGAAGGAGCAAAAACGAAGTGACTGGAACAGTATTTCTGTTAAAAAGAGAAACTCAGAACAGCAGAGAATGCAACGTTGCATTTGTATGCCATGTTGATCCTGCATTTTAATTCATTCTTGACCTCAACCCAACTTTAACTTAATTTGGCGTCTTCACGTAAACCAAGGCAAACCTTGTGCAGACAGCAGGTGGAGCTTTGTTTTGTTCAGTAACTGCAACCTTTGACCCATGACTGTAGGTCTATAAATGGCATTGGACCCACCCCCTCCAGGATACACCGTAACCTCTGAAAGTCAAAAAGATGTAGGGCAACATTTTCAGGGTTCAGGGGAAGGCCCTCTGCACCAAAACAGGTGGTGCTCTGGATTTACAAATAGAATAATCTAAGTGTAATCTATTCCACAAAATCCTGCCTTTTAGTAGCCAGAAACCAACTGTCACAGAAAGAGGAAACTCAATTTAACGCCTTACGGAAATATAGCTAAATCAATAAATAAACTTTCAGGTAAATGTATACAGTGGGCCACTTACTGATTCTATAGAGGAGCCTAACAGGAACATTAGTAACATGTTCTCTAGTGCAGAGTTTGCATTTGCATTTTACCACTTTACCCGTCTCTACACTACTACTTTGTGAGGCACATGAATCAGTGTAGTGGTAATGGTGCCATCAAACACTAGTGATTTAATAGGCACCTACAGTCAGTTATGTTCTTGGAATGACAGTTATGTTGTGTGCATGAATCCAACTTTCTCTCAATGTAAAATGGTGTCCCGAGGGAGAAGATGAATTTAGTGCACGCTGCCAGCCTCAGTCACAATATATCTTGATGAAACTCCCTTGTTGTTTTATGTGCTGTACTGGCACTCAACAAGATGTAGCAGATGTTGTAGAGTTTTCATTAGTCTCCAGGCACATTAAAGAGTAATTCAGCACTGAGCTGCAGGATTCAGAGAAGTATGGCTGCGAAACTTTCTGAGGGTTGAAATGTTTAAGCATATTTTGCTTTAAATTGGAGGCGCTTCATTCTGCTACCAGTGTTGGTGCTCTCTCTCTACTGGGTCTTTTGGGTTCTTTATCCTCTGGTCTATTTGATTTGGATAGGTTTTCTATTGACCTGCACAGCCTCTAACAGACAGCACACCAGCAGGCAGGGAGCAGGTTTTTCTCTGCCCCGCTAGCATGGAAATGCATCAGTGCTTACTAGCTCATTTCTCAAGCTCAAAGTGTATTTTGCAGTGGAGGTTATGTCTAAACACAAGCTAGTTTAGCCATGTCGTAAAGTAGAAATTACCTTGACTGACATTTCAGGTTTCAGTACCAGTTGCAGTGTCACTCAATCAACCTACAACATGGAAGGACCACAACAAGCTTTGTCAGTGATCTCTTTAAGCATGCTCGTTGTTAAAAAACCCTGGGCCGCTGCAGGACTTGGTCCATTGCCGACAGCTCTACCAAGTGAGCTAACCGGGTGCCCATTTCACAGTCTTTTACCATTGTAGTATTCCTAGTGACTAACATTTTTTCTGTGAAGATTCCTGTAGTCATGTTTGTTCTGGTCGAATCGAGTAATCGAGTAAAGCCTAGCCACATGACCCGTTTCCATCTTGGGCAGCTCATACGAGGACAGCTTGAAACTGCTGATAATCCATACTGCAGAAGACATTTAAAATTTTAACAGGCCTTTTTAGCCTGGTGTCTGTCTCTCACATTGTAATTGCAGATTGAGATAATGTATACCAATCGTATTGCATCTATTCTCCCCTACTATCATTATTCACCTCACACAGGTCTAAAGTAAGTCTCTGCTTCCTGCATTTCAATAAGCCTTTCCTTATGTGTGCTGGTTTATTCTGTGTGTCTCTCACAGTGCTTTGTCTTCCCTGCACTTGCTCAAGCACTGCAGTGCAATCCTGACAAGTGCACCTATCTCCTCTGCAGGTATAATACCCCCGCAAGCAGACAACATTTCACCTTCTTTGATTGTACCGGATTGTTATCGCCTTCTCTCAAACATGTTCCCCGTCACAATTCCTCCATCGGTCTGATTGATGGTCTGGTACGACCAATAGCTTATTGTGGTTAACTTTGGCTACTGTTAACAAAGTTT